GTTGCTAGGTCCGAGCAGGGCAGCAACCACTTGCGCACGCGAGCGAAAAACAGCATGGAGAAGTGATGCTAAGATGTCGCCGCGGGTGGACTTTTGACGACCGCAATAAGCGGTTGTGCTGGGAATGGCAGCCGAACTTGCCGCGCCGAATGCGCGAACAAGTTCAGTCGCACAGACAGCGCGTAATTAGATGTTGCGTTCAGATGTGCATCTACGAGAGAGCGCAGCTGAAAACCCGCGTGTCCGAAATACCAATTTCGGGCGCACGCATTGCTCCTGCCCATTCCTGCCCGCACCTAGCAACAGTGTCATAATATTCAAAGAGATTACCACGTAGAGCCCTTACAAAATGGCCCTTTCAACCCACTGTTGCTAGGTCCGGGCAGCAACCTCTACATCAACATTGTTACTGCTACTAGCCAATTCCTCGGGGAATTTATGATCAATTTAAAGTAAAACGTATTGCCTATAGGGGGGGAGGGGGCGGCTAGTAGTAGTAGCAGTAGCAGTAGCAGTAGCAGTAGCAGTAGCAGTAGTAGCAGTAGTAGTAGTAGTAGTAGTAATACTACTAGTAGTAGTAGCCAACGCCTTGTAAACCGTACCCCCATTTCAAAAGGTTTTTGCTTGTACATTCATTACTTGTATCCGCGCTGTCGTGCTCCGGGTTTTGGTATGTTTTCTTTCTTGAAGCTGACGTGCTTCTACATCGCCCATGCTCTCTAGAATCTAGAGTATCCATCCCCTAACCATAATGCCCCAGAGCGTCCACTTCCCGGAGCATCCATGGCCTACAACAGAGCATCCACTTTTCCTGATCTCCATGCGCTACAACCATAGTAACGTTCGTGGCCCAGAGCATCCACTTCCCAGAGCATCCATGCGGTAAGCGTAATGACGGTCGTTCCATCCACTTCCGAGAGCATCCATGCCTCACAACCAGAATAACGTTTGTGCCCCGGGGCCTCCACTCCCGAGAGCATCCATGCCTTAACCGTATTAACGTTCGTGCCGCAGAGCGTCCACTTTGTACAGACGAAAGCGAGCGCATCTCATTAATGATGGAGCTCAATTCTATGGCTCCTGTGCAAGCAGCATGGTTTGCTGCGCAACTGCTGCAACCACAAAGCTGGCCTCTTGGTCCCTAGGGATACATGAACCACTTCATCCGTAGTACGTTGACAAATATCAAGCAGATACTGCTCCTGCTGTACGTACGGAGTTTTCAGGGGCGCTCTTTGCGCACAAACAGGGACATGCTTTTCAAACCCGCAGGTCGGTGCCTGAAGAAATTGCAACGCTGAAGCCTGTCGTGAAAAAGGACCTTCCTGGCGCCTTGTTTTCCTTCCAAGACACAAGGACATGTCACCATTTCTTGGATATGTTATCTCGATTGCTAATGCTGCATTTCCCAGTGCAAATCACGGTAATTTCCATCTCCGAGTTCCACTTGGCTCAGAAATAGCAGTACGACGTGCTTAAAATACTGCGAGGGTCAGCAATCTTCAGCCTGCCAAGTCGTCGTCGTCTTCGTAGGAGGTTGTAGTGGTGGAAGTAATGGTGGAAATAATGGTGGGGGTGGCCTTGGCGGTTGCAGTAGGCGGGCGGTGGTGGTGATGGTGGTGGCGGTGGTGGCGCGGCGGTGGTGGCGGCGGCCGCGGCGGTAGTAACTAATAGCAGTCGTCGAATAGTAGCAGTAGTAGCAGTAGTAGTAGCAGCAGTAGTTGTAGTCGGTTGATATTTTCACTGCCAGAGCTTTGGGGGGGGGGAAGGGGGGTAATTATGTATACGACGACCTCAACCAGTCAACTTCCCCCAAACTTAANNTCCTTCAACTGCTCCAACTAAACAAGATCGTGGAGTTTCTCTTGGCCTCTTTTGGGAGGCAAGCTAATGTGGATCCATAGGATGGCCATTTTGGCCCGCATCTTTGACTGTACCCCCGAAATCTTTGATGACCGTGTGTCCACGTAGGCATCTCTTGGAGCCATGATCCAGGTAAAGCTCACAAAGCAGGGTTTCGATAACTGACCAGCACCCTGCTTGGAAAGCATGTCGTTGTCATGTTGCTTACTGTTTTCTAATGCCGCCTCCCCCACATGTATGTTGGCCATTTAAGCAAACAGAGTTGGTAGGGGCGGGGGCGGGTAGTTTGTAGGTGCACACGGAAGCCGGATATACGAGGTTTCGCAAACAGAAGTAAATGATTGTGGGCCTATTGAATGAAATGCCATGTCTGCATCCAATCGCTGTGGAGCCATTACAGGCCGGAGGATGGTGTAGCAGTTTATCACCTGGACTAAGGCTGCGAGATGTGTCAAGGGTGTCAGCACTTTGACATCTGAGCTTGAAAGCCTCATGGAAGTTTTGCAGATGAAGGTTTCTGCAATTCCTGGGCGCCAATTGGCAGTTGAGAGCTGGCCATGCAATGCGCGGTGTGAATTGTGCATTCTGTAGGTTGTGCGTGCACAAGTTCCGCGATTGGCTTTGATGCCCTTATGAAACCTCGAGTCAGAAGCGGCAACAACTGACGCTTAATTGCGTTCAGTTTGTGTGGATTTTAAAATTGAGGTGGTCGTGCTCCAAACTGACGTGGAGCGCCTCTGTTTGCGGCATCGAGGTCTTCATAGACTCCTGAAGAGCTGAATTGTGCTAAGTTCTAAATTCCAGCCCGGATGATGTCATGGTTGCTCCTTACTTGATTACTGTGGCAACTTTGTTGGCTGCGTGGCAGTCCTGCACGGATGCTTTTGAAGTTCTCTGCCTTGTTCTAAGCAAGAACGCTGCATGCATCACATTTAAGGCAGGTTCATTCCAAGCGATTATCTCACTCAACGATTTGCGAGTGCTTTCTCTCACCTGTGGACAGCAACCCCATCACAGGCCTGTGCACCGTGAGTGGGTCAAGCATTTTCTCTGGCTGCGGTATTTGACATGTCTGCCAGAATTGTAACTCGGCGGATGCAACACCAAAGATGATACCAAAGATGAATTCACGGATGGCCTTTACATTCATGAGTCAGATTGATGTGACAGAGAGCACGTGTTTTGGTGTGCAAGTTCGAGGCTTCTCATCGCAGCAAAGGCCATCTGAATCAGGGCAGTGACCCACAATAATCGTTTGTGCGTTGTTGGTGCATTAAGACAACAAGCGTAGCTGAGCTACAGAAATCTCCGGTACCTCTGTGTCCTCGACATCTAGACAATTTACTTGCATGACCACAGCATCCTTAACCTTTGCGGTCTCCAACGACTTCCCCAACATCATAATCCTCACGAGCATGCTTGACAACGTTCTTGATAAATGCAAGTTGCACATTATCGGCGAGAAGGACGACTGCTTCATCAACATGCAAAACCATCTCCAAAGCATTCGATTCCGTAACACAAGCTCTATTGGCAGGTTCTGGTTTCACAAAGTCCGCTACTAGTTCGACGACTTCAACGTGTTGGATCAGGACAAGCTCCTAGATTTGCCTACAAGGTCCATCTCTCACACCAGTGAGAGACGAAGAAGTTCAACAAGCTTTGTGTTGTGACCTTCATGCACTTCAGGCAAATCTTCGAGCTGTCAAGCTTGTCCAGGATGATGAGCCTGCAGAGCTAGGAACCTTGGGCAGAAAACTGCACATGCCACAGATGTGGGCGTTTCTACAGCCTGCTTCTTAGCTGTCATGTACTGTAGTATTCATTTGCTCCACACAGTATCCTCCACAGACATGGCAACAAGGCCAATGACGATCAACATGTCTCCCAAACCACCCTCAGCCGGACCAAGGGCAACTAGCTCAAACCAACTGAAGGGGTAGTAAGCTCTTCCTGCAGCCTTTTTCTAGACAAGCCTTCCAGCAGTGCTGGGTTCCACTTTGCAAACGAATTCATGGCGGTCCAGTAGCAGGTCAATATAGAACCTGTTTGGAGAATTAGCATGATTTGGAGGCGGTTGCAGGCTTGCAAGGTGTACGAGACACAGGTTTAACGACCAGATTCCCCTGCCAGGCAGTTGCGCTGGTGGAGGTCTTGACGAGGGCTCGTTTGTTTTGTCTAGCCTCTAGTGCTCGCATTCTCCGTCTTGTGCATGTTGGTGTTGGCCTTCCTTGCAAACGTGGCCGCGATCTGCCAGACGATGGCTGGGAAGAACTGCGATGGGATTGTTGCAAGACTTTCTTTGCGAACGCCCCCGGCTAGCATGGGGGATATGCTACAATGAGCACCTTTCTGATGCGCAGCTCGCAAGTCAAGCAGACAGTCGTGGACCAGTGGGTGCACTGACCTTTTGAGTATACATATGAGGAAGAATCGGACAGGCATGTTGAGGCTGGCCACGCACCATGCCTTGGATGACGAGATGCAATCACAAGGATGCAGTATCACAAAGATGTAATTCCCTGGTGGTAGAAGCGTTCCGAATTCTGAAGCACATCCAATTGACCCGACGGTCTCCGGGCAGCACTCAGGGGGCAAGTGCTCTGTCATGCAATGTCCTACGTTTTGAACATCTGATTCGCACCGCTGCCGTTTGAGTTGTGGGTTCAACGCTGCGCTTGTCATTGTTTCTTTGGACTTGCAATGCATACATGCCCACATTCCACAGTTTAGTTTAGAATAGCAGGACACATGGGAGTACCGCAGGCGGTGCTTTGAACCCCCCCCAAGCATGCTTGCCAAGGGGATCATAGACAGGAACTTGAGCCACAGCCCAGGTTTAATCGAAGTGGCGCTGGAGTGCCAACAGCATTCCTAGATACATGAGCGTTGCCATTGGCAGGCGCATTTTGCTGTTGAAGCTTCCCGGAAAGCTGCAGTGTCACAGGTGCGGCGCACATGAATCGTTTTGTTTAGGATCAGCGGCATCGAATGGCTTACCTCGTTGGCTCCACATCAACATGTTTGCGTAGCATGTTTATCTTGGGTTTCCGGGTGTTTCCATATTGACTTCCTAAGGGTTGCATGTGGCATCAGGCTTCACGTACAGATGCTTCTATTTCTTGCCTTGACAGCAGATGTGCATGTCTCCCTTAATGCCATCCGATGCCTTGTGCTGCTACATTTTTCTGGGCCTTGCGCTGGAGACCATGGCCGGCCAAAGCCTGTGGCCTGGGGACCCTATTCCATGCCGTGACGACCTGGCAAGGGCGGCGCAGAAATACTTTAATAAGACTGGCTGGGCTGCTGAGGTGGGAGTGTATCAAGGGCGGTTTGCAGCCCAGAATATGAGACACTGGACGGGGCGTTACTTCATGATCGATGCCTGGGCGCACAGACCTTTTGACGACTCCAGCGACAAGAACTTCCCACAAGCTGAGCATGAAGAGAACCTGCGTCAAGCTCGGGCACGTGTTCGTTTTGCCAGGGGACGTGGTTGGCCCATCCGGGGCTTTTCTTTGGACGTCGCGCAAAGATTCGCGGACGGGTCGCTGGACTGGGTTTTCATTGATGCCTTGCACGTGTACGAGGCGACCCTCAGAGACTTGGAGGCAGGGCTCCTAAACCCTTCCTGCCCTTACCCGCTAAGCCGGTAATGATCTGCAGGCCTGGTACCCGAAAGTACGAGTCGGTGGCCTGGTGAGTGGTGACGACTACGGGGATGCCACGGACATGGAGTGGATGTCGACGAGCCGCTTTGAGTCGGGAGTGTCCCGCTGCTTGGGCTTTGGCACGACAACCCCGAGCGATGTAGGGTGGGGCACGATGCGCGCGGTTAACCAATTTGCGAGAGAGCACGGCCACCAACTCTTCGTGACCTACTTTCTGGATTGCCATTCATACCCAGCATGGTATTTTGTGAAGGGCTAGTTCGACGTGCGCTGCAAATCCTAGTTCGCCTCCTGGACGTGTTGCTTGTGCTGTTATGACACGGGCACCGCGAAGCCAATGTGACCGCAATGGTGAGGGTGCTGCAGTCGGTTGATGCAGGAGATCATCCACAACTGCTGGGCATTCGAATTCTGGAGCCTCTTCCTCCCAGGCTCTGAAGGAGGATCGATGGAGAGGCCTATGCTGCATCCATCCATTTCAGCCGGGGGTCAACTTTACAACAGATTCGGCGGACTGTCTCCGGAGGCAATCCTCCCTACATTCATTTCGAATAGATCCTCCCAAATTGAAATATCTCGAATATTTCTCTTTTTCACTTCTCAAATTTGGGATATGAAATATTTCTGATTATTAAATTCCAGATAGACTAGAGATTATGCTACGACCTAAAATCATCTCAAAGATATTATATCTAAGATATCGATTTTGAATCATTATTCTTAGAAGAATTTAAAAATTTGAATCGAAGATAATTATCTTTTGATTTCGTTTTCTTGAAATATCGATGATAATCTACCAGGAATTTCAGATTTCATTTATCATATTTTGAATTTGAATATCGCTTTTATATATCAAAGATATAAATATCTCTTTATAGGATATTCTAGAGAAGGATATAAATATCGATAGATTGATAAGGATAATTCTATTTAAATAATTCTTTCAGAATTCTTGAATAAGAATTGAATATATCTTCATTTGAGAGAAGAGATCTATTCAAGAAGATGAGCCTTCGAACATTTATTGATAATTCTATTGATATTTATCGTCATTTGAAATATGATTCTTCGAATCGTTATTCTATTAAATTCGATATTATTTTATTCGTTTGATTCGTTACGATGATGATTTGAGCGTCGAAAGATAGATATTATATCTAATTCTTCTTTATTACTTTTCGAATATTTTTAGAAATTTTCGGATCGTTAGATGAAGATTTTATAGATTGATAGGAAGATTTCTATATTAATATATTGAAATATTAGATTTTTTCTATTTCTTTTCAAATCGAATATTTTTAGATTTTCTATTCGGGATTTTAGATGATAAGATGATATTGATTAGATTAAATATACAAGAAATCGAACTTCGTCAAATCTATTTGAAATAGACAAAAGAATTCGAGAAAAATAATATATTTGAAATGATATGATATAATGATTTTCATACCTATTCTATAATGATTCTGAAAAATATTATTAAAAAAAAAAAAAAAAATAATAATACATTTTCAGATCTAATTTGATTATTTATTCTCTTAAATTTCGGCTTAATATATTTATAATGCTTTATCTATATTATAATTGGGAAAACGGAATCTAAATATTTCATTCATGATGAGATTTTCTGGATTTTTATTGAGAGGAGAATTTGGATTCGAGAGGATTTCTTCTCGATGAATTCGATAGGAGTTCCGCTGATTTTCTTACGATTCTTTCGACATTATATCGTCAATGATAATGGTACTTTCTTTCTCGAATTGCAATTGATTTTGCAATTTTTTTCTCTATTTCAGACGGTGCGAGGAAATTTGGCTACGGAAGAGCATACAATTAACAAAAAAAATTCAATTAGGGCGCCTATCTCGCTATCGGGAAGAAGAGATTAGATTTGAATGCAGAATTTCTTTTTTTATAGAATTATTATGATAAACGTATATAATAGAAATTTCCTAGGAGATTATATCGCGCATGATATAAATATTTCAGAAATTAAGGCGTGCGTAAGTGATAGACTATTTGGAGATAAAAAATATTACGAAATATATATATATATCATAATAGACGAATGAAATAGATAAAAAAAAATAAACTAGATATCTTATTATATATTCATATCATCTAGAAATTATAAGAAAAAAGATTATCATAATCAGAAAATATCATTTCAAATATAATCTAAGTTCCTTTTCATTCTCCATAAAATAAATAAAAAAAATCATTGATTCTTCATAAGATTATAGAGTATTCACTCCTTCTATATTTTTATTTCCTTTGTCAATATTCATGAAACGACTATCATCTTCAACATATTCTGCATTTCAATAATGACGTCCAATACGATTCCAAACGAATTTCGCTAAATATTCTCCATACCATCATTAATAAAAATAATTCTCGAAAATATGAAAAATATCAATTACATCTTAATAAGAAGATTTCAATTTCTACGAACTCTGCAAACAATTAACGAAATCGAATGAAATCGCATTAGATTTTTATTTACTTATTCTATAATATTATTTTAATTAGATATGAATAGCTACCTAAATTATTAATATATATTTTCGTAGAAGAAGAAAATTTACCATTTTAGAAGATTTTTACCACTAATATTCATTTCGAGTATATCGCTTTTATCAGAAATTATTTTTTATTCATATCTCTAAATTTAATCTCTGCTTATTCTTGGGTCCTTTACAATTATAAATATATTTGCTCATCTAATTTCTATCTAACTCACATTAATCATACTAGAATATCATAATAAATTCATTTCGCTATATGCGCTTGCAAAATATATTTTCTTAATTATGCGGTCAATCCAAATGCTATATTAAAATAAATATATATATATAAGCATAATATAATAATAAAATTACGTGCATACGAATATTACGAATAATAAGAAATTATATATTTCAATTAATCAAATTTCTGAGTAAATCTTGAATTAAATAATCATAAAATTAACAAAAAACCTTTTCCTTTAGAATAAATAAATAGATCATATTCCTAATTTTATTTCTTTCCGTCTCCTCTCTATATTATTTATTCTCAATATCTCCTTAATATGAATTTTTGGATGTTCTACGTTATTCTTAGAATTCTGATTTTCCAAATGATTAACGTAATCTTTCTCAGATGATTAAATTATTGGAATGATGGGATTGTCTGCCAATAAATCGTATTTATTTGGGGTTATTCAGCGATATTTGTAGTACGTTGGGGCAACGGAGGGTCATCCAGTTTTCCGGATATATTTATCGAATCAAGGAATCTGCCAAAAAGACGCTGTTTGCCGTGACAAGGGCCGGGTCCATGCCAGATCTACACGCAATAGAAGCACGTCATCTCGATAGCTAAGCTGTCGACCAAAGCCCGGACCCGAGACTTGATTGCTCTCGAGTGAGCCCGGCAAATTGATCTGTCTGAGTTATGCGAATTTTCCGGCCTCCGGTGAAGCCAGTGGTGAATTCTGTGGGCCATTCCTGACTCAACGCCTGGCTTTTGTTCAAGACGAGAACTGGCGTCTTCGCACCTTCAGCAAGCAAACGCCAAAGTCTCAAAGCTGCAAGTCGCCTGTTGTCCAGTGAGTAATACCGATATCGTTGCGAAGCCAAGGATGTGATCTGGTGCTCCCAGGTCTATAAGGTCTGTAAGTATCTAGCATGTTGACGCCGCACTATATCACAAATTGCTGGTTCGGAAAACCCGTCGTCCTGATGTGACCTGGCTTATGGCTGAAATTGCGAGCCAGCTTTTAGACTAGCTTACTCTTTGAACTTCGAGTTCACAAAGCTTGCTGTCCGGAGATCTGTGAGACATCATACTTGTCTACAACTGTAGTAAAGTCCTGTTGGGGAACTGCCCGGTACTTCAGAATATGTATTTCATTGGTGAAAGTGTGCTCAGAGCTGATATTAGTCGAGCCATTTCGAACCCGAAGACACCGGATGCATCCACGTTGGGTCCAGTGATAACATTCCAATCTTCAAGAAGCTACCACTCAACCACACTGGAAACAACAAGAACAGGTCATGGTACAAGCACATCTTGTGGAGCGAAGCTGAAACCTGATGTGCCCTAAGCACTGCTTGAGAAAATCATCCTTGCCAGACCCTCTGGCCTCCAGGTCGTCTTCTCGCTTCCGTTTTCGCAACGTCTCCATGGCCAAAGCTCATGGCTAAGCTGACAGGATGTAGGTAGAGGAAACCATGTTCTGATGGGCAGTAGTAGCCAAGTCACTGCCTAGTCACAGGTGTGTTGTCAGGTTTGCCTCGTAGGAAAGGTGGCTTGAAGGAACTGCTGCAGCACCAGACAAGCGGTGTAAGCCGAAGCCTATGCGCCTGGGAAACTCTTGCGTAACTGTATGTACCAAGGCCATCTAAGCATGCACAACCAACAATTGGGATGGCATTCCCTACAGGCCAAACATTACTTCTTGGCAGGCTCGTTGAGCTTTTTTGTTACTGCGGCGAGCTGTCACTGCTCGTCAGCTGCGGGCTGTTTCTTCTCAATCTTCCTGTTCAGGATGCGAGAACCCCGCTTTGCTGCCCGTGGTTTGGGCCTTAGATGGCAGGAAAGCCTCGGATAGTCCATTTTGGCAATCGTTCCTGAGGCCTGTGCGCAGGTGCAGGTGCAGGTTCAGGTGCAGGTTCAGGTGCAGCTGCAATCTCGTCTGAAGTCGTTGGTGCGGTCTGCGGCATGGGGCACGAGTTCAGCAGACCTTGTAACCTGGGCTGAAACTCAGAAGCACTTCAAGCCAAGCTGCGGAGTGCACGTGCTGAGGGCTTTGCTGCATCCAGCACTGTGCATTAACTTCCTGAGCTGCAGCATGACATGTCACAGCACTCCCCGATATCGGCAGTGGCCATTAAGCAGCTCATCCAAGAGGCTGGGTTCAGCGGGAAAGGGCCGCTCGCTGCGGCCGGGAAAAATATTGGCCCCGCGGATGGAGCGCCGAAAACCCTGCGCAAGAGAGGTCTAGAGAATTCGCTGGCAGCCGTCTTGCTGAGGGCTCTACTGATCGCGCCATCGCGGAAACATGGCCTCACGGCAAGCTTAGTGCCAAGCAATGCAAGGTTCTGTGTATCACCGAATCTGGCCCAAGCGGCTGAGTCCGTAGGAATGACGAGTCCATGCGCCGGTTGCGTCCTTTCCAAGATAGGTTCACAAGCACGCTGACAACACCTAGATCTTCAACAGGCTTGAGAACGTTGCAAAAGTGCGTCAGCCCACCTCTTTTTAGGGCGTGCCACAGCTGCCGCGGATGACCCTGCACCTGACGCAAAATGACCATATGCATACACGTGGTGCATGACACTTTGCGGTGGCAAGCAACATACGCTGTATCCAGGTTATGGAAATGTTCAAAGGCAAGCGAATGGGCTCCCAGCTGCCATCTGCGTGGCTTTGTGGATGGGCAGCAGACTTCGCTTCCTCCGCCAACCTCGCTTCCTCCGCCAACCTCACCTCCTCCGCTAGCCTGGCTTCCTCTGCAAGCCTTTCATCCTCTGTCAGCGATGCTAGCCTAGCTTCCTCAGTCAACCGCGCCTCCTCAGCTAGTCTGGCTGCTTCTGCTAGCCTTGCTTCTTCAGCTCGTCTCGCTTCCTCCATCAACCTCGCAATCTCTGCTACCCTAAATTCCTCTACACGCCTGGTTTCTTCAGCCAACCTCGCTTCCTCCGCTAGCCTGGCTTGTTCTGCTAGCCTTGCTTCTTCAGCTCGTCTCGCTTCCTCTGCTAGCCTGGCTTGCTCTGCTAGCCTGACTTCTTCAGCTTGTCTCGCTTCCTCTGCCAACCTCGCCTCCTCCGCTAGCCTGGCTTCCTCTGCAAACCTCTCCTCCTCAGTCAGCGATGCTAGCCTGGCTGCTTCTGCAAGCCTTGCTTCTTCAGCTCGTTTCGCTTCTTCTGCTAGCCTGGCTTGCTCTGCAAGCCTTGCTTCGTCCGCTCGTTTCGCTTCCTCTGCTAGCCTGGCTTGTTCTGCTAGCTTTGCTTCTTTAGCTCGCCCCGCTAGCAGCGTCAACCTAGCGATCTCTGCCAGTCTGATTTCCTCTGTGAGCCTTGCTTCTTCAGCTCGTCTTGCTTCCTCCGCCAACCTTGCCTCCTCAGCTAGTCTGGCTGCTTCTGCTAGCCTTGCTTCTTCAGCTCGTCTCGCTTCCTCCGCCAACCTCGCCTCCTCCGCTAGCCTGGCTTCCTCTGCAACCCTTTCATCCTCTGTCAGCGATGCTAGCCTGGCTGCTTCTGCAAGCCTTGCTTCTTCAGCTCGTCTCGCTTCTTCTGCTAGCCTGGCTTCTTCAGCTCGTCTCGCTTCCTCCAGCCTCGCCAGCTATATCCCTGCATCCTAGAACAGAAGCCTACACCCCAAATCTCTGAATCCTGCAAGGCCTCTCGGGCAGAGCTTTGCTACTGCTCACGCTGTCTGAGTCGGCGGGGCGCTCGCGCAGCGTGCAGGGGCAGATGGCTGCTACTTGCGAGACTGAGGCACCCATGGCTGAAAATCTCCAGATAGTATCGGGGTTTGGATGTGGGATTTCGGGCTCAGCAAAGCCATACGAAACTCGTTGACGTTGCTCTGCAAGAGTAATGAGGAAGCCTGTTTGGTATTTTGTGGGCCTTGAGCATAGCTAAGCAGTGTTCGGCTGTCTTCGGCTGCACACATGTTGGCCCACCGTGCAATGCTTTCTCGACGTCTTGGCTGCTAGCGGGGTTTGTGTTGTGGAATGCAGACTAGTGCACAAATCACCTCAAGGCGCAAGTACGCCTGAGCCAAAGAGATCACAGCGAGCACTCGCTTGCAGAGCGAGCGCCTGAGTTGGACACTTGCGTATCCACTGGCACACTGCCACCATACTTTCACATCAACAGCATCCTACACATCACAGCAAAGAGAAATGTTGTCGAGGTCCATCTTTCTCACCTAACAGCCCCTGAGTGCTGAAGGATGCTAGAACTGAAATGGGTGGGCTCTCTTTGCCTTGCAGGTTGATCTCTTCATGTACCTCCAGACAAGCGTGTTCCTTGCACCAGGTCACCCAAAAGGGCATCATCCACCTGGCACACAGAAATCCAGAGCTCACCTAGCACATAGCCATCTCGGCAAGAACTAAGCTGGGCTGCCATCGTGAGCCACGGAATGATGACCAACATGATGCCCTCCACAAATAGATCTTAAAGATCATGTCGTGCCACTGACTTAGTATATTTATTTTAGGTCAAAAAACTTGGGAAGATTGCTTGTCACCAACTAAATTACCGGCCCTGAGATGTTTGGGGGATCGGCTTGCGGATCTTGCGACGCCATTACTGTACCCCGTTGAACCTGGCCACTGAGACCCCTCCAGCCCTCCTGGACACTTACCACCTCATGAGCGGAGTGTGGTTGGTCAAGGGTAGCCTCAAACGGAAGTTACGCCCAGCGCTACTGTAAGCGCACTCAGCACGTAAGGACCATAGTCTAAGAGAATATATGTTGGTCAGAATCTGACGATCATTCTGAAGCTGAATAGACACCCAAGACCTGCTCTTAATTGGATAGACTCTTTACTTGAAGGGGTGAGAGGTTGAGTGCCCACTGAAAGTCTGATCCAGTACGGCCAGGGACCTCCACTTGACGGTCTCAGGGTTGAAGGTTAAATCTGGGTTTGAAGTCTGAGTTTGATCAAATGCAGGTCGCGCTGGACCCGCCAATGTTCTGGACCAGGTTGATGTATCGTCCCTACGTGGGCTCTTTCTGCGCGAGACCCTGTATCTGAAGGCAAACTTGGGATGCGAGATGAGGCTGGCCCTCGGGGTGTACATCTAGTGCCACATGCTACTGGTAATAGTAAGCTATGACAAGTGGCTGCCTCGGAAGACATGTCTGATGATAAAAGCACTGTGGGCTTGTGCACGAACATCTACGGGGAACACCTGCATACCCCACAGAAGACTTATTCACATTCACTATAGTCTAAGCTCCTAGTCCTAGTATCCCCCTTATAAGCCTTATAGTAGTCCCCTATATAAAATGGCCTATATAAGCCTCTTTAAGGAGCAATAAGACTACAGTGCACATTGCATGATGAACAGCCATCTTCTTCCACGGCCACACAGTGCGCTGGCCGTCCATCAGCATGGCGAGGCCTCGGCTGTCGTTCTAGGGAAATTAAAGGGGTTAAGGGTTAAGGTTTAGGGTTTAGGGTTTAAAGGGGTTAAGGGTTGAGGTTTAGGGTTTAAAGGGGTTAAGGGTTAAGGTTTAGGGAAACAAAGCTACTTTTCCAAAATAGGGGGACCCCAATATAGACCCCAATATATCCTTACTTTGCTCTGAAAGGGCAGCTGCCAACACAATTTCTTTAGTTCGCGCATCCCCACCGTAACATTTGGTCCACAATACCTTTCACACCCCAGCTTCGGGAGAAGAAGCCTCGGAAAGGCTGGGTGTGACTGGGCGGGCACTACAGGGACACTCTGTAATCTGCTGTTAACTACTCCAAAGGTCTGATTTGGGCTCTGTAGGGGGCCTTCCAAGCCACTCCACTGGGTTGTATGCAACGAACCGCAGGAGCATTCTGGGGTTGGGCTCTCCAAGCAGATGGGTGAACGAGTGAGCAGAACATGTCCTCAAAACATCTAAATGCTGCTACAAAAGCTGCGGCCTTCTGGGCGGATTGCAGACTGGTTTGCCGTGTGCTGGAGGTTAGCACTTTCAAGCTTTGGGCATTTTTGTGCCGCGTGAGCCTGTGGTTACAGGCAGCACTGTCAGTTGTTCCAACTGTTGACAACTTCACAGGCCCTCAACACTAAAATGCCAGGTAGGTCACTGCTCCCCTCCGTGTGGTAGCGCCGCTGAGTGGTGATTGCAGGGCACAATGAACGCTTTCCTGTTTCATGGCCGAGCAATGGCTTAGTGTGTAGTGTAGGGTTCAGGCTTTTGAAGCTAAGGCTTCGAAGGATGAATCTGAAGCAATCATCTCTCTACATATAGAATCAACTTAACACATTTTCCGGACCCACATCTGGTACTTTAATTTGGCAGGATTCAAACCCCTCGCCTTCGCATCAGCCGTGTGACATCCAGTCCGTCGCCTCCACACGAGCAACATGTTTGGGCCTTGCATTATACCTACCCCCTAAACCCTAGACCCACCTAGTTCTATCGTTCAACTTCTGGCTCGCATGGCGCCAGCACGAGTGCAAACAGCCGGAGCGCTTTTGACCCTCGGCGCTGCCAGGGCCTACCTCCTTTCACCAATGGTCTCCCACTTTGTTGGTGCCCAGTGCCATTTTGACAGAGCAAGGCTTTGGCAGATATGTTCTATGAGAACAGACATGTGTTATTTACTCGGTCTATGCGATCTGTCACGGAAACCAACCATGGACAGGCGCGCAGGCATGAAATTGTGCAGACATCTAGAGGCTTAAGGCAAGCTGCATGACCCCAATCAAGCTTCTCCAAGTACTTCCAACTCGCGAGTCGCAACTTTCGTTTGCTTCAAATCTTAGTCCGATGATTTCAACTTGCTTGAGGCTGCTGGCCCTATGTGAACATCACGAAAGGTCGCATGATTGGATGTTCAACCGGCAGGCCGGATATCTTGCAACTGTCGATGTGAGTTCTGATTCTGAAAACAGCGGCATGCCAAATAAGTGGCTTTATCATGTTAGACGAAGCTTTGTTACGATGGCATGATATGACTTCTTGTGATGAGGTCTGAACCAAATCTCACATGTTTATGTGCTTCCAAATGAAGGATCCGTTTGTGATGGGGCTTCTGGCAATGATCTTAGATGAGGGCAAAGGGATCCTCCATCTCTATTTGGGGACATCCCTGTTTCCAATGATAATCTCAGAAAGCCACAACCCCTGTATCTGTGCCCTCCAACCACTCTTAAGTCCTAGTCTCGGCCCCTTTCCTATGGTAGCCTTTACATCTATCATCAACAACAACCATCTCTAAAATCATTTCCAACATCACGCGCTACGGACATAATCGGGCTCAAGCAACTCAGACTGCTTAAGGGATCCAAAAACAAGGAGCCACCCCAAAACAGGCTCATTATACGAGTCATGTATCCCCTTAATAAGCCTGATTATACTCCCCTGTATAACCCCCTTTTTGAGTTTAGACTGTAGCTCAATGAGAAAACGAGGGGTTGGAAGGCTCCTGTTCTGGATCGCCTATGCGATCACTCCTGCATTCACAACAAGCCCTCAAAATAGTCTGGGTAAGAATCCGGCAGGTCTAGGCCTGTATGCTCATCGTTGATTTGCCAGAGCCAGACATCCCTCTTGGTGACCTTCGGAACAGGATTAAGATGGGGGCGTTGACTTGTTTAGGGCTCATGATGTAGGGTTTGGAGCTTAGAGCCATTTGGGGTTCAGGACCTGGGGTTTGGGTCAGAGGATTCAGCGCTTCTGGGGATTAGACTGTGCGAAGCAATTGCTTGGGGTTTTCGTCTAGTCGTGCGAGAAATAGCTGAAGATACTGTCCCAAGCTACTTCCAGTTTCAGAACACCTTTACAGCTAGCATCTGGGGAGTGATGCGGGAACTCCTGTGACTCCAGGTGACGTGGACCTCGAACCCATTTCTGCAAACATTGTGCATTTAGAGGTTGAGATCCCTGAAAACGATGAACTCTTGAATTCACAATGAAAATCACTGTTGCAAGACTCGGCCAAACAAGTCTCAAACTGCAAGCATAAAGCATCAAACGACTTAGAAACCTAGCGCAATTAAAAAACTGAACATAGAAGTCAAGTTTTGGAAATAACCTGGGCATGAAAGCCGAGCTGCGTTTGCCACCGTGGACTCTGCAATGACCAGCGCCGGATTGTGGAAGGACCAAGCATGTCGAAGGTGACCCCTCTAGCAGTCATACGGTCCAAACTAGTAGTACTGCTTCTGCTGCGGGTACGAAGGCTGGTGCAAGTGTCAGGAATAGCATGTCGAGGCAGCATCAATGAGCGTAGTTCCAACAGTAGGCGTAATTGTGGTAAGTGCTGCCGTAATTCTTGTAGTAGCTATCACCACTCGTGGTACTTAGTCGCCGAACTTGTCACTTCTTGTAACGGTGCTCAGGCTGACTGATACTACCATTGCTACAGCTAGTGCGCTGGTACCTTACCTCTACATCCTACCGGTATCTAACGGGCCTGGGCTTTGTCATGCTGCTAAACAATGAATGCCTGGGACTCAACGAGTTCAAGTGTTTGGGGCTGATCTTTTTTTCCCGCAACTTCCTCTTCCTCAAGCTGGACAGGTGTGGAAGCTTAACGGTTTCAGCGATAACATGCTTATCTCTCTCGGGAGTGGGTTGACAGCGACGGCAGGCTTCAGCCAGCTCGTGACCTCCTTTTGTGACTCCATGTGTTGGCAGGTGTTGAAGGTATGGAGCTTCTGTAGGCGCTTTAGACGATGGTCGCGCTTGGCTTTTACTACGGGGTGCGTACGTAGGTACAAAGCTTGCCTTTGCTGTATAGCTTGAATCAGTCTTGAGTAGGCTTACTGTTGTCTGTGACGGCTGAGCCAGCTGATACCTGACCCACAATTCTCTTTTGTTTTGCTCAAGGTTCGAAAAGCCTCCCGCCCAACAAAACCTCCCCACCCAATCACAAGCAGAAACGGCGGCGACAGCGGAAAAGCTGCAGCCGCCACTGCATCCAAGTGTCATGTCCCAGTGGAGATGTTCTCTGTAGCCACGCACCTGGCGTGCTGCGATTTGAAGATGGTGATCTAAAAGCCTGTGCTTGAAGCATGTGACAAAAGCTCGAGCATCCTTTTAATTGTCTCGTTCAGAAGCATCACCCCGCTGCTGCCAGTAGGGCCTAGGTAGGGCCTCTGGCTCAGCTACAGCGACCGAATTCAGGGTAAGGGCATGTGCGCTGAAAAGACAAATTTCCAACCAAGCAAGCAGAGGACAAAATCATGTGTTATTCTAGCGTAGCGTAGGAAGTGTCACAGGAACCTCTACGAAGAAGTACTCTTATCTATCCAGATCTATCCGGGCTCCATCTTAATCAGCATGGCATGCCTGCAGCCCCATGCTCCCACCTGAGGCATGTCAAGAGGAGTCTCAGGGCCCGACCCATTGGAGCGTGCCGCGCCGGAAACCCGCAGCCAGGCGCGTGAAGCGGAAACCCTGGGACTCTTTTCCGTCATTACTTGCAGCCGCGCACAAGATTTGCTGGGTGCGTAATCCTGAAAGCAAAATTCCGTAGCAAACCTCATTTAGCTGGGGACGGCTGCAGGGAGCCTCCCTCATGAGAAGAGGTTGTTGTCAGCCCATGTACTGATAAAGTAGAGGGCCTTTATGGACACTGTTTGGCCTGTAAGTATGCGCATCTTCCTCTGTGCAACATTCTTGCATGCACAGCTCAGGCCCTACAATGAATGCCTTACAAACACTGTGCCTCCAAAATTGAAACAACGCTAAATTCACAATGGAAAGGCTATTGGGAACATATTGGGGTTCTATTCGGGTTATACTATAGGGTTCCAAGGCTCGTGAACTCGCCATCGAAATCTTTTGGAGCCTCTGCTCTGGCTGAAGCAGCCCCAGTTGCCTGAGAAGACTTAAGGCCGCCAAACTCTCAGCGAGCAAAGCATCAAGCATCAATAAAGCCACTAGAGCCCCAATATAACCCCAATATAACCCTAAGATAACCCTAGTATAACCCCAATGAAGCGTCTTCTCTAGTGTTGCCAGGCGAACATCTATTTAGAGTGCTCGCAGAGACTGCTCATGCAGTCCCAGTCTGAAGCTGCGCACAAATCTGGAATGCAGAGTGAATGGCTATAGCTGCTCATTCGAAGGGTTAATGTCTCAGAAAACACTGTGGAAACTTGAGCGACACGACTGCATTTGGATTCTTGACCTTGAGTCTCATGCTCTGTGTGGTCTTGACGTATATGTACACTGCTCTGCGATGCGTACGCTGTCGACACATAGACACACACACACACACTCTCCATGCACATTCCTTCTTGAACCGCTCTGCCGGGGCACATGTCTCCAAAGAGGCCACTAATTCAGTTGTTGCCACGCCAACTCCTTCACAGCAGCTTGATGAGGTTGCGGCACCCAAGTAGAAACAGGAGAACGCGTTGACTTGCACAATCAGAAACAACAAGGTTCGCAGCGAGGACACCAAGCAGACACTGTTTTACTGCTTGCTCCAGGGCACCAACAGCAAGAGCATCACCAAAACGACCAGTACCAAAACCGCCCGCAGCAGCAGCAGCAGTCAGCAGGGGCGCATCCATTTCCCCTTGCATGCCGGCATCCCTTGTACATGTGCTGCATCTAACAATGGATTGACCACTTTGCCGAGTGCAGCTGCGCGATTTTCACTAGCTTGATGATCTGGGAACACTTCGAGGACAGTCATGGATGTTGTTTAGTTGTCTATACCACCGTGACTCTCTTTCGGCACTTTCGGAGTCCTTGTGCTGCCAGGGCATTGTAGACAAAGTGTGAGGGGCCCTGCTGCACCGAAGCAGGCGCTGTGTTGTCTCTCAGCAGCCTCATCATGAGTGCTTACTATGCCTAACATCAGAGACCTTATCAAAGGACTCTGGCTTTCCAGCCTTGTCTGGGATGACACCGGGAAGGTATGTGTGTATATATGTATATATGTATATATATACACACATAGCAGAAGACTTTTCTTGAATAATTAGTTGCCAGTACTTGAAAGAAGCTGCCCTCTTTAGCATGCAAGCGGGGAGCTATTTACGTGAATCTTTCTGCAAAACACGTAACCTGATGAGACCGTTCTTGGATGGCCTTGAAGTCGGTAGAATGACAATGTTTTGCGTTGGGAACCAACCCCCCACTGCATCATTACAACCCAAGTTGGCGTCATTCTTCTTGCAGTTGTCAGTTGATTACATGGTAGCAAGGGCTTAGGAGCAGGCCCCGCGTGCATTGGAGAAGGTACTTAAGTCATGCAAGGAGTATGATAACTTTTACAAAAGCAAGCTCCTGTGAGCTCAGCCTGTGCCAATGCCCTATTCGCCACTATCATTCTTCTTTTACCTGGCGGATTGATTGAAACGTGACACCGCAACACCTTTGTCCCGTCTGCACACTGAATGTTGCCAAACAATTATCGGGTAAAAAGTTCATGTCCCGCCATGAGTCGGACTACAAAACAATGCCTCAAGGCCATACGAAAGGTTCCCTCCTTTCTGGGAATGGTCTGTCAAGACCCAAGCCCAGCTCTGGCCTGTAGCGTCGGAAGTAGGCTGTTGCCAGGTGCCTCTGGGCAAAATGAGGGTTGATCAAGAACCTGGGGTGCTTGTCTTTGAAGGTGGAAACTACTCCCTTTGCTACAGGCTTAGGGGATCTACGGGGTGTTTACTGGCCAAATGAGGAAGTTAGTTCAGGTCTCAAGTGCGAAGACCGTGAGCAAAAACCAACACCAACCTTGGTCACAAGTCCTGTGGCTTTGCGCGTCGTTGGTTGACGTTGGGTGTTGTTGGGTCTTGAGGCTGTGCTTGAACATGGTGCTGCCATTGCACTTGCTGATTCGATAATAGAAAAAGTAAACTCCAGTGTGCCCTGAAAGCATGCCTACCTCACTTGGAATAGGGTGCTATGAAGTGCCCTATGACTTTCTCTTACTCTTGGCGCATACAGAGAGAGTACGCGTCCCTACCTACTGCTGACGCCAATGTGTCGCTGAAGCAGCCGTTCCAAGATCAACTCTCACATCTCAACGGATCAACTCTGCATGATGTCTGGCATTGACGCCTGGGAATCGCTGCATGCCAATCCTGCGCGTAGAACATGACCCACCTGGCAGCTTGTGAAGTAGGACATGTAGATCAACGAGAGAATGTGCCACGAGCTTGCGGGCAAGCGTTTGACATCTTCTGGGCGGCCTCTTTTTAGTCCTACACGTGCAACTTGCCCCAGCTTTTTGAAGGCATGTCTCTATCTTCTAACCTTTTGGATTGTCTCATCCTGTTGCATTGACTTATTTTCGACATGCATTCGACAGGAAATGTCTGCATCGCTTGGCGGCTAGGATCTACGGTGTCCTTCAGGCTCAGCCACAAGCTGCAAGATCCCTCTGCTCAACCAGACTTGAAATACTCTACTTTGAAACCTGCAGGCTGTAAACGCTTAAGTAACAACATGTCAGGACATCACCAACAAGACAATACCTAAACCCCAAAACCCCCAAACCCCTAAACCCTACCTGGCCATGTCCGGGAGCTCTGCGGCGTATGTTGCTTGCCAAGCGGCACATACTGTGGGTCCAGCAGGCTCAGGGGTGGATGAGGTTGAAACCAGACCTGATGCTTCTGGAATGGTTTTGGAAAGGACGAGCTGAGTAAAAGTAGGAACTTGGTCATGCTCAGCTGTCTTTTGGCTGGATCAGGGATGTCCCAGCAGCAGACGAGAACATGATGTAGTCAAACAAGGAGAAGCAGAACAGAACAGATTGAGTATGCATGCTCTTCAATTCTTGGAGGCATTGAGTTCCCGCAGCGGGCCCCGTGTTGTCCACATGCTACGTATTGTCTAGCTCAGCCTGTGCAAGGCAAAGGGACAGCGCAGCAACACAATCTTGGTCCTAGTGTTGCGCGCTTGCAAATTGTTCACGCACGTTTTCTGCAGCGCCATGGTGCTGTAGAGGCCCAACACTTTGCCTCTCTCACAAGACTGAGTGCCACATTATGCGCGGAAATCGAGTGGCCTGGAGTCCAAAAATCATTCATTTTCTTTGCGTCTGACGGTGGTGGATTCACGTACAGCCCTTGGCCAGCAAACAGACCAAGTCTGCAGTAAAAACATCAGAGAGAGAATCGGGAGCAGAACTCAGAGCAAAACTCTTGCAGCGGGTGCTTCGCAAGGTTCAGTTGGGCTTCGGATGTTGGGAAGGAGAGGCGCAACTGTCTTATGGCTGCGTGGATGGCTCCTATGATGCTATGTCTGTCATCAGGTCAAGACCCTTTAGGGGAGCTGACTGCAAGACCAGAGGCTCAAACAGAAATGAAGATGCAAAATGAAATGCAAGTTGGGATGCTGGAAGGGTTTGCAAAGATTTTTGTCTCCAGTCTGGAGCAGATTGCTTCATCCAGCTTCAGTTATGCCCAGTAGCCATGTCCAGCCGGCAGTAGACGATCCAGCGAAATGGCAGTCCCCTTTGAGCTTCCTTGGTGAAACTGCTCCCCGACGGGTACAGTACCCCGAACACTCCCCCAACCCCTGTACTGGCGAACCCAGTGGAAAAGAGAACAGAACATGAAATGGAAAGTCTGGAAACATAGGCCTGTAGAAATGATTCAGTCAAGCCAATCATGAAGTTCCAAGCTCAAGCCATCATGTTCCAGCTGGTTCCACATGAAGAGCCATAGTCATAGTCTAAACTCCTAGCATCCCTCTTAATCAATAAGCCCTGTAATACTCCCCTGTATCATCCCCCCTTAAGGAGTTAAGACTATGGCTCATAATAAGCTAGCGTGAGCCGGGATGTTACTTCAGTTCTCTCTATGGCCAACCTTGGCACCGCCACTGCAGGCCAAGTGTCGTATCTCTCCACCAGACTGAGCCTGTCCACAAATTTGATGAGGTTATTCCCGGGGTTCTTAGCAATCCTACATAAAAAAGCAGACGCTGCGCGAGAGAGAGAGAGAGAGACTCCCAGAAACCCACAATGTGAAGCACTCCCGCCACACCGAATGAAGCTGCTGTTTGAATATCGCATCTCTGGGGCCCTCGTGTTAGAGTGAGAATTGTAGCGCGGGAATGAAGTACTTATCAGATTTGGGATGAGAATCGATTCTGCGAGCTTAGGCAGCCAGCTTGATGTTTGGATCAACGGCTAGTAAGCCATTTTACAGTGTCAAATGAGGGCGTGGTGAATAGTGAATAGTGTATCTCGGCGCTGAAAGTCCATGATGGAAGTGCCACCAATTTCAATTGATCGCGGCCAAAGAAGCCGACGCACCTACATCCTGAAACGCAGCCCCAGGCAATGGCTTTAAATGCAGGGATAATATAGAGGCTATCTGGAAAAGAACATAAACACTACTATAGTATATTATGGTATATTCCAAGGGGTGCAAGCTTGGACTGTTTAACAACTTCCAAGCCACGCAGCGTCCATCTTTCGCATGGCTAGTAGCGAGGTTCCTCCACGGTGTCCATCCTTGGTGTGGACATCTTGCTGGATTTGCTGCCCTTGCAATTTGGGGGTTTCATGCAAGGGTTCTGGTATATGAGGATTTATATGTGCATGTTGGGCAGTTTATGGAAACTGCCATGTCCTACTGTCCTACTTCCACACATACCTGGGGTAGCGCAAGTCATGCAAGTGTCCCTACCACAGGATCGTGAATACTTGTGGCAGGGCGAGGAATAAGGTTCTGGAACGTGTCTCCCTTTCTGCTTTTGCGCTGACTAAGCCCAAAATCCCTGGTGGTTGGAAAGCTGTGAGGGCCGTTGCAACTTGTGATTTGGGTCAGGTCGGGCCCCAGAGTGCAGCTGCCAAATTGGGTTGAGCCATCTTGGCCGGGGAGCGAAGTCTTGGAAAAAGTCGACTGTCATGGATTCGCCGCAGTCAACAGTTTGTCAAGCATACTTCAACACCCACCCCAGCACTGCTCTAAGCTTTGACCGCTTAATGCAACGCGATTGGGCTCAATGTGTGTTGAAAGGCAACTAACACTGCCAAGGGTCCGCCGGCGCCAGGAACCATCCTTCATGGGGACTGCAAAAGCAAGGCATTGCATGGGCCAGTAAATATGTAATTGGCAGTGACGATGGTCTGCCTACTCCGCCTCACACTCCCTAAACCTTAAACCCTTTTCAGCTGAGCCAGACTTTCGCCTTCGCTCTCATGCGCTAATCTCAAACTCCAGATCCATTGAACCATGTGATCCAAAGGTCGCTAAGGCCTTGGGGACGACATGAAGGCCAATAATGTGCTGGTGACCAATGTCTTCCCCGGTTTTTAAATGAGTCGTTAAACAACGCAGTGAGCAATTCCAAGGCCCTCAACTCAGCGAAGCTTAGATGCAAGTCCAACTAAGCAAAACATCAGTGCATGCCAACTAGACACGGTTCTCAAGCCAAGTTGAAACCATGTAGAGTTCATTGACATCCAGCTAAAATTTGTCAAGCATCCACTTGTCTTAGTAACCAATACAGAAATGCATAAGTATGTCTTAGTAACTCCAAGTTCCAGCAATGTAAGTTTACAACTAATCTTGCGCAATGTAAAACCCGATTGGGAGCAGAAATCCGTTGCTAATAGAAGGCTAACAATCACAACTGATCGCTACACGTGTGACAACTTATTCCCCAAGGCATCTTTTAATAGCAGCTGCTGCTTTTGCAACAGGCAATGATTCATCATTAGGGCGGGAATGAAGACCTTCTGAAGAATTGGTTGGCCTCGGTCATCCCAAACATGGACACGTAACATCCCCAAGCCCAGTACTAGTCTAGGCGTTTTTTTGAAGCCCAGACTATTCTTGAATAGGTTCCCTTGTACAAAAAGAGGGGAAATCAACAACTCTCCTAAAGTGTCCCCTGTAATCCGTTCCCCAACCCCCGAAACCCACCCCCCATCCCCCACCCCCCACCCGAAGTTTTGTAAAAGTAAGCATCCCCCACGGCACGAGGCCTCCCCATGCACGGTGGAAGTCGATCAGATCCTTGGGGTTCAGAGCACGAAGTCTCACAGTCCCCCTTAAGCAGATAGAAGATGGATTCCCCACAACCATATTCAGATCCCCATATACCCCATATTCTATGTACTTAAGGGAGGGTATTCTGAAGGTGATCGTGAAATGCATGCCAGATCTCATTTGTCCACGGTAGGTAAGCAAACTTGGGTATGTCCATTTCTGGGCATTTGATATATGGGTATTCGGGGGTGTGTTGCTTCAAGGTTTAAGCAGGAAGTGTTGCATGACCAGGACACTATGGTTTCGCGAAAGCCTGGAGTTTGTGGCCAACCTGCTGAGAGGTAACGGTTGCCCGAAGAATCCTGAGGTGTGCTGAGAATTCATCAAAACACTGAAGCCCTACCCCGATAAGCTACGCGAAATTCCAATAAACGAAGTCAAGATCGTCATGTGCCTCATGGCTTCAGTATGGGAGAAGGATGCGCACTTCCACACCAAGAGCTTCCGAAGGCAAGAGCCACAGGCTTGCAACAAGATTCTCCCAATTGCTCCAGCTTCACTTCTTGTCCAATCCATGCAGCCCAAGAAGCTGGATGCAACTCAGCTTGAAGAACGCCTTCAAAAAACAAGGTAGGACGGGATCACCCCACGGTATGTGAGGAGCGCATAAGATGTAGCTCTTAAAAGGCATGCCAATCTGGACTCTACCCTAATCCCGGGCCTAGGTGTGGGTCGCGAAGGAAGGAGAATGCAGCCAAATCAGTCCCCAAAGCCTGAGCTGCGCCCAAGTGCGTCTCTCCATCCCAATCCATGAGGTCTACGCACCAGCTTTGTCAACGCATGTTTCCCTCTTTCCAGCCCTTGAGCATGGCGTACAAGTTCATGCAGTCCTGAAATGACTCTTTACTTCTGGGGAGCCAGCCCTGAAAATTATGAAGCCACCCAGACTTGGGCTAGGAACATCGCTGAGTGTCCTTGAAGCAGCTGCAGCCGAGATGTTCTCGATCTCAGACCTGAAGCTGAATCCGTTTCTGGGTAGATATTGGGGTAATATTAGGGTACATATTGGGGTTGTTTTGGGATACTGGAAAAGAAAATGGAAACTGCGATTTAGCTATAATTATCGGGGTTATATTGGGGGATCTGCCACTGCTAATGGAAGTCTCTCTAGTGTCCTGTCAGTTTGTGTAGTTAGGCATATACGGTGCGCTGATTGCAAGAGAAGCCGACACGTAGTGTCGTGCTATTTGCTTCAAGCCGGGTTTGCAGGTCAAGCGCCAGTCGGATTTTATAAGCATCTTTACGCACCAACTGATGGAAGCGGCAGTCGTACGTTGATAACCATCCCAATTTGCAAGCTTACTTGATCAGCGGCAACAGGCAAGATCAAAGAAGCTCGACATGTTCGTCGGCCGTCTCGTTACTTCATTTCAGTCTATGAGGCCCCACGCGTGAGGAGATCTCTGTGTCATGAGAACGGGTGTTTGATTCATCTTGAACAATCTGCATGCCTGCAATGCTTAGACAGTGGATGTAAGAACCTCCCTTTCGGGAAGTGCTGTTTCAAAGGAGAGTGCTGGAGGCAACATACAGGGAAGGGTTCTGATGCTCTCATGCAGCGGGGCTCCAATTTATTTGACCGTTGTATGACAACTCGGTAGCGCGAAATCATCTCATTACCACAAATTCTGCCCGCAAATACTGCAGCTGGTATGATCATACTTGGCACAACATGCTGGACCCTGCCCAGCATGTCAAACTGCCTGGCAAATTCACCTGAAGCTTTCGAGCAACACAAACTGCTCAGACTACCTGTGTCGATGATGACGATTTTGCTTGCCAGCATTGTGATTACCCTACTAACGTTACCAGTCTTGCAACTTATAAACTTTCTTTACTATTTCTATGCCTGATGAAGTAGCACCTCTCCTCTGCCTCCACATTCTCTCCCCATCATCCTACTACTGCTACTACAATGAGCATGACTGGTATGAAGACCTGTGCTGCTATATGCTACTATTTCCTGCTGCGGTGGATGGAGGAAGTCGTGAACCCCAATACTCTATTTCAGGGAATCATCAACTAGGCGCACGAACTGGTGCAGAATGCCTTTCATCCACAAGATCATGGCGATGGCAACCCTAAACCCTAGACCCTAGACTCCAAAACCCCAAACCCTAAACCCTACACCCTAAACCCTGAACCCTAAACCCTAAACCCTCTACTTTGTTTGCACCATGCAGCCGGCTCAGCGCCGCGAAGGCTACAGCTTGTAAAGGCTCAACTACGTGGCGGCGCACTGTGAGCACCTCATGGAGGTTCCCTGTGAGGTCCTTATGGGATATAGGGGTTCTATAAGAATAATAGAAAAGACAATGGAAACTATAGAAATTATAGGGGTTATATTGGGGTTATATAGGGATAATGGAAAATGGAAGCTACTATAATTTTAGGGGTTATATAGGGGTTGATTTTCGTTGTGAGTGGGTTTGTATGGACCGATTGATTGTTACACAGGGTTGACTCCAAGTTTCTTGCAGGCTTGGGTTCAAAAAAGTGGAAGGAGCGATCCATGATGATCTATGTTTGAAGCCATAGTTTGAATCAACCCTAAATCCTAGACCCTAAACCCTAAACCCCGTAGTTTGAAGCTCACCTGGTTTTGGGGTGATCACGACTCTGCCTTGCTGTTGCTTTGATACCAAAGCTCCTCGAGCCTCCCAAAGTCTTCAGACTGACCCCAGATAACCCCTATAATTACGGTAGTTTCCATTTTCTTCTCCATTATCCCTATGTAACCCCTATATATACCCTATAATCCCTATATAACCCTATATAATCCCTGTTGTTTCCATTTTCTTTTCCATTATCCCTATGTGACCCTTATATATATACCCTATAATCCTTATATAACCCCATATACACCTGACTTTACTCCAGTACCTCTTCTCTCCACAGACGCCTCTGACATTAAAACACCACGGTCACCACAGCTGCGTGCAAATGAGAATGTACACTTGCCCGTTGTGAGATACTGTTGATGGATGAAATCCTGCACCACTTTTCGTCCCTAATGTTCCAGGAATTACCGTAATGTAGGGGCTGTAGGTGGTGCAAGATTTCCTCCATCAACCGTATGGTAGCCACTACCTAGCCATGCATTCACAAAGCTCACTCAGAAGCATTGGCCCTGCGGGCCTGAACGCTATTATGCAAACCCTATGTATCCCTATTTTCTTGTTACTGGGATCCCCAAAGTGGTACCCTTAATTTTGGGAAACCCCTTGTCCCTTATAAACCCAGTGTCCATTTAATTTTCCATTTATCGTTTCCATTTGATTCTTCATTATTGCGGGCGATGAGGCCCGCGCACTTCTGAGAGCGAAGCGCCATTGCCCTGCCAAGACAAGTGCCGTACCTGCTTTAGGCCCCAAGAGCTTGGGAGGGCTATGTATTTTAAGGATATTGCAGCAGTTATGTAGGGGCTAAATATGTAGGGCTGATCGAAAAGAACATGGAAATTGCGGGTTTGGGGTGGCTTGAGGTGCCTCCGAACCCGGCACGCTGAACTCCCAAAGTGCTTACCAGAATAGTGTGTCTGTGTGTTGAGGACCGTGTATGCTACAGGCATGCTCGCCCGCTTCATGTGCAAGTTGCATCAGATCAAAAGATCCAGTAGCAGGCATTGAATGATAATGACAACCATAAGAACCAGATGATAGTGACAAGGTTTAAACAGTTCTGCTACTGCGCATACAATGTGCTAGCTAATGTTCCCACATCTCTAGACCTGGGTTTGCATTTCTTGGCAGCTGTATGGCAATTCGTTTCAGACGGGTCTTGATCTACAGGCAGTGTGCTTGCACCTGTTCAAAGCGAGAAAATCTCGAGGATTTCGAATTTCAGCCTGACTGCAGCTTTTGGCATTCTGCATGTTTGGCACTGACTACCTGGATACATGCCAAACTGAGCTCTTGTCTGCAGCAGCAGCATTAAAACTGTTGATTCTCTTTGCTACTGGATAACGTGAATCCTGAGCGCCAGCCCCGAAACCCCCGAAGTGTGGCTGTACAAAAAAAATTGCTCTAGCGTGTTTTGTGCGAAGTCTTGCATGTACGCCTGCAAGTTTTTAATTTGAAAGCTTTCTTTGGCAAGGCTGGTGGACAGGGATCCGAAAGAATGGTGCTACCCAAAACCCTCACAACTGAAGCAAACCCAGGGGTCTGCTCCACCAATGGTTTGCTGTTTGCTTCCCTTTAGCTTTCAAAAGGAGCATTTGTGCAGACCTTCAAGCTTCTGGCATTTGGCTGTTCTATTGGGCTAATGGAAAATAAAATGGAAACTACTATAGTATATAGGGTTATATTAGAACTTAATTGTAATTGATCGTCAGAGAGGCTTGAGCTCGCCCTTGTTTGTTCTTATGATGAATCTCTAGAGGGTGAAGGCAAGCAAAAGAGCTATACAGACATCTGGACATACCTGACTAACGAAAGTAACAAAAGTATGACCATATGTTGCCTCTTAGCTGGCAAAGATTCCGACTCGTTCCGAAGCATATGAGGGACCTGCTGCACATGGCGAGCTCGCAACTGCCCTTCCAAAATCTGCACGTTGCTACCTCTGTTGCAGAGAAGCGAGACATAGGACAAATCTTCATCGAAGATCTCATACCCTCGACCTGGACCACAAAACCCTAAAGAGTTCGAACACTGTGCCACGCTGCCTCGTCCTTGATCCTTCGCAGCAGGGATGCTCGGTGCCTCCGAACATGCATGCCCAAGACTTATGCAACCTGCTGTGGGGCTCCGACAATGATTCTATAGTCTCCCAAAATGGGGGACCCCAACATAGACCCCGCAATACTACGGTCCTTCTTACTGGGACCCCCAAAGTGGTACCCCGTAGTTGTATTCCCGGCGCTCAACAAGCTCCCCCCAAGAAGCGCTAGTAGCACCCAGGTGGAAAGAGAACCTGAACAGTCCTGTCTCCACTTTGTAGGCCCGCCTGCTTGGGTAGGCGCTGCTCTGCAACAATGACCTTGGCAGCAGGCATTGTGGTATCTCAACTCTACGCAACACGCTGGATTCTGATTTTCCAGTTCTGAACTATTGCATGGCCGCCTGCTGCTTTGTTGCCCATTGCATCATATTGCATCATGACCTGTTCCACGGAACTCGCTATCGCTATCTCTGTAATGTAGCTAGAGTTAGTTTACGAAGACACGCCAAACACCGGACAACTCCTGGTTTCGAAAGCAAACAGGACCTCCCTTTTTCGACTTAAGCGATGATCCATTTAGATCTTGAAAGTTCAGTACCTTGCTTGTAAGCGGTCCAGCAAACATCTAAGGTGTATCCGGGATCTGCGAGCAAGGGCATGCATGGACCTGGCTGTAGTTTGCGGAAATCCATGCTGGACTCAAGTGCCGGCCGCGCGGCCGGCGAATCGAAGTTGACGCGATCAGTAGCCTGCAGCTGAAGCAACTTGCCAATTTAGCAGCTGGTCTTGGGTGATTTCTGCCCTCAGCCCGCCCACTCGTACGCCTAAGCTGTGGTCCGTCTTGTTTGTGTGCTCCTGCTGGTATGAGCACTGCAGAGTTGATTCCACTTCCATCGACCGCAGGTGCCCTGATAAGATCACCGATAGTAAGAGCAGCAACGCTGCTTGTCCACGCACGGGCTCGAATTTCACCATTTTGTCGAGTGGCGCTGCTGTCTTGGAAGTAGTCGTGGAAAACCATGAACCTCAAATGGGAAGGCTCAGGCCATGGATTCTGGGTTGGAACATGGATTTCAAGAAGCAACGAACCCAAAGTTGCCTATGAGAGTGACAATGCAAAACAATGCAGGCCAAAAGGTCTCTACAGAAGGCGTCACAGCAATAAATGCTTCCAGCATCTTACCACGCTAGGTTTCATGCTAGTCCTCTTTGCTACTATGGTGATTGTCGACCATACCCCAAAGCCCAAACCTTAATTGTCTCTCTCTGTCTCTCTCTCTCTCTCTCTCTCTGCCGGCATGCGGACGCAAAGCCCCCGCTGCAGTGCGCCGGTCACATGTCATTGCACTCAGGGTGAACATGACAAAACAAGATTAGCATAAAGTTAACAGAAGCGGCGGATGCAGCCAATTAGCGGCCAAACATCCAGCACATGAACTCACCCTCATGAGATTGCCATTTGTGACAATCTTGTGCCAACTCCGCGAGGTTCAGCTGATGTGCACGACAGTACGCATATACGTCTTGTTCATGCCACCTCCTGGGGTGCACCACCACTGCCCGGTTTTGCCTCCACCATTCCATGTTTTTGTGGGACAACAAGAGTTGCATCATGGGATTGTGTGGCTGCTACTCTTTGCTCTTTGTATCCCAGATCCCCTAAAGGATCCAAAAAATGGAACCCCCCCAATATGAACCCATTACTACATTGGGGAGACCAGGGGATTGTTACGGGGTTCCATTTTTTGGATCCTTTAGGGGGTCCGGGATACGCATGAAGTCTGCCAGGCTGCAAGTGACGCTGGGTCCACGAGCTCAGGCCGACGTCATCGACAGCATTCATGGACAGTTGGCTTCCTGAAGCTGCGTAATCTGAAGTTTGAATGAGGAACTTTAGGGACTCCTGCAAGGGGCTGGGCGGTATCTAATGATCTACAAAGTCTGAAGCCTTGATGTCTTCATTTGAGTCCTGGAAGTCCTGGACTCTTCCAGGCAATGTTTTGGTTGCCTTTCTTTATACTAACTTAACTGACTTGAGGATCCCAAACCTTGCAACACTTGCTTTCATTCACATGGTTCTGGGTTCTTGTAGGCAGTTGTGCATTTGGGCAAGCATCCATGATTTGCATCAGGAACGACCAGCACCTTCCGAGTCCGCCGGGACGGCGGGTGTGCTATTGTAAGTTCAGGTCTTGAACATTGGAGTCCCACCTGCAAGATTCTGTGGGTGTGGAGTCTCGCCCTGGAACCCGAAACTCGGCACTGCTTGCCTGTTCTAGCAAATGGACCTGGACGGGAAATCTCTAGAAGACTTTGCGATAGTGGTAAGAAACTATTTGAGGACAGCTGCGCCTACTTGTGATTCAATGATTTCATCATTGCTTTAAAGTGATCACGATGCAACTAACTGCTTCCTTGTCAAGCATCATCGCCCTAGAGGCTAGAACGCTTGTCTTCTTTCACGTCTCGGGCTCCGGCTGATCTTGGCCTTGAGAGCAGAGCGTGGAGGCAAAGCTACCTGCACAAGCTGCCGTTCCTGCAATATTAGCGAGTGTCAGGATCGTGAGTTTTCTACCTCTGGTTCAAACACATCATGCTGCTTTTGCGGGCTCCAGGCTAGGATATATGCATGGTGATACCACTGTAGGTGAGTGGATATGCTAATAAGTCTTCAATCCATCTGCTGTGCCCGAATCCAGAAAAAGTCTGATGACAACGACAGCGGAAACATGGTGGCAAGGATGTCAACGTCAAGGCCACCAAAGAAGACAATGCCAACCCCTGAATCATGATGATGAGCTTACTAAAATATGTGCTCGGGAGCTACCTGCTAGTGCTGCTGCTGATGTCGGGCAGTTGCGAGCAGTTGTAGGGCGGGGCTTCTAAACAAAAATGAGTGGTGAGTTGCTGAGTAGAAGCACAAAAGTAGTGTGAACCCCTGCCTGTCCATTCAGGCAGCCCGCAGGTGTCTGTAGACCACTGAAGTTGGTTGTCCTTAGCTCCGTGATGCTACTGGATTGTTGCATTTGATTGCAAGTGGCAGGGCAATAGTGTTGAGAGCAGCACTATAGGGAAGGGCACCTAACGGTGGCAAGATTGGTGGCCGAACCGTTCTTATCTCAACCAGTGCTAGAGACCCCCAAAAGCTCAACCAAGCGGCCGATTGAACCGCTGCTGCAGGAAAAGAGGCAGCAGCCTTCATCGCCAGAGTGATACTAGTTTGGCTGCGCATGGGATTCTGATAAGCTTCTCACAGTCCAGACGGTCTGGCATGGTCTCCCACAACTGAGCGGCAACAATAACTACGTCATGGTCATGCTGGGTCAGGCCCGCAGAATTCTTTGCAGGCCTCTACATGATGAGAAGTGATAAAAATTGTTTGAGGATTCGCCACAACAGCAAGAGTGCTGCTCTCCCAGTTCCCAGTCTCGACTTTGTGTCGCGACACAGGCTTATCTCTTCATTAAGCCTTGTGGCTTGGCCTGGGAGCTTAAACCGCCCCTTCTCCCTAATAGTCCTAATATAGTACACGCCCGTCTCGCAAAACTGTGGCAAATATGTGTTTTTAGATTTCCATAAGCAGAAATTCACTTTGAAAAGGAACTCTTTTGCAAGGGAAAGCTGTCAGAACTGGGGCATAGGCCACGAGCCCACTGCAAACAGGCTGCAAACCTGCAGTAGACGCAAGATTGATATCACCCACACACAAGGCAAGGCAAGGTATGAAGACTAGGGAACACTTTTCGCCACCTGGTTGTCAAAAAAGATTTCTATAGTGCAAAGCAGTCTGGCCTGTACGCAAATGAGTCCTGATCTTATTGGCCGACTTTCCTATCCGTTTCCCCTCAGTGTGACCTCTCTTCAAAGTGTGACCTCTCTTCAAAAACAAGCCGTAGACTTCATGGTGTTTCGAGCAGTGGTCAATATTCTTAAATCAGCAGCACCGATGCAACTCAGAAGTAAGTGTATTCTGCGAATAGATACTTGCGTGAATGCCTGGCAAACTCAAAGTGGTTATTGTTTGCCACCCTTAGCTTTGATCTTCGGGCCTCAGCTTCAAAAACGCATGTCAACACTCGGGTGCCTGACCTAGTGAGCTGCCCAGATCATGATACGCATGACAACCCTAACATCGCGCAGAAGGGAGCTGCATCCTTGAGGCATGCACATGTATGCTGGCAAGCGGCGCGCGGGACGCACATGGCACCGTAAAACTTCACCTTGTCTGGTGTTGCCACAAAACCTGGGCTCTGCTGCACGGCTGCAGATGGGGGGGGGGTCGGGCTAGGCTGGGAATTCCACGTTGAGATTCCTAATTTGCGGTGAACACTTGCTTCTGAAGTAGGTGGCGGGCTGGACTAGCAATGAGATGCCAAAGCCAGGACGCTCGGCTTGACAAAGGCTTATGCTCATGCACCTACCCCTATCATTGCCAGATGCTCTTGAGTTAAATGCTGAAGGGAACTCCACAGCCGGCTAATACCCAAAGATTGCTTAGCAGTACTTGCCAAGACCGCACACGACGAGACGCCGCCAGATGGACATGCTCAATCCCTGCAGGAAGTGCGGCTGGGCCAGCAACCTGAACAAACTACTGTTCCTCCGTCAGAACAAAAATTGCCTGGCAGCTCTTAAATACCACGTTGTAGACACATGCCAGATATCTCCGAAGACGTCACGTCAAGTGCACTAACGACATTAACCAAAGCTGCTGAGCCACCACGTCTTTCTGCATCGAAGGACAGGGAAACCACGAAGACCACCGTGAAGAGCTTCATCGAAGTGTCTTGGACATGTGTGCACTCACAGGGGTCTGCCGCTAGGTCTTTGAGCTCTGAATTTGGTGTGACTATGCATGTTTGAAGCTTGAGAGGCTGAAGCCCAAAGCTGATTTCAGACCTCTCCAGGTTTACCGCTGGACTTTTGCAGTACGGCTTCTTACAAGTCTGTTTCTCAACCTTTATTCCTTGGCCATCGGACCCTGAAACCTCAAACCTGAAACCGCGCGGCCCATGTGGCAGGTGTGCATGAACTCCATCAGTGGGCCGGCAGCGTGGCTTTCGAGGCCTCCCGCAAGTGAGTAGGCCGGGAGTCTGCTGGGTTGCTGTTAAGGGACTTAAACTAAGTTCCCAGACCGCAAAAGGGATCTAAAAATTAGATCCTCTAGAAAACAATAGGGAACTATATAGGGATTATAATGGCTTTATAAGGGGGATCTAATTTTTACATCCTCCCAGGGGTCTGGGTTACCATAATATGGGCATATTGGGCGTATCTTAAATTACCATAATATGGGTATAGGGTTAAGTTACCATAACATGGGTGTATGATAAATAATGGAGTGTCCTTGCTAGAGTAACTTAATTCAAGTTCCTTAACGGCAACCCAGTCTTTTCTCTTTGAGGCTGTTTCCACCTTCCATGCGAGCTGTGGCCCCTGATTGCTGCCAGCTCTCATATAGTTGATACTACAAATCCTGCGCGACCTTCAATACCTGATAAACTAGGCATTCTGGCATTATAGTATAGCACAGTCATGCAGGACATTTACAATCTTACCAATTCCTGCAGGAGTTGAATGTAAAAGGAGACCCGAACTTTGGAAAATGCTCATAGCTGGAGCTGCCAGCTGCATCTTATAAGTCCCAGACCTACATCTGGATCCAAGAAAGGAGCCCAACAACGAGTTTTACGACATGTTTGGGGAAAAGGGAATTAAAATTGTTGGAGGAAATCTTGCACCATCTTAAGTCCCTAAGCCCTAGGAAATACCGTAGGCAATGCAAGATGTCATCCATTAACAGTGGGAGGTTCCCCCTTTGGGATTCATTTGGGGTCCGGACTGCCATGCTCAACCCTGCGTTCTCACCCTCACAGCCCTGCCCAAACAGGCGCGCGCTCAAACTTAAGGAAGCAGCATGTCAAGAATCCATTTATGATGTAAGACTCAGTCAACCATTTACATCAGTATGCTTGCAGGAGGCCTAGGGGGCCTAGGGACCCAAAATGGGCCCCCAACACCTCTTAGGTCGTGAAGGCTCAATGAGCCCCTCCAACATCTGTTCAGATGTCACAAATATCCCGGTCTTTCATAAGGCCCTGAATCAGCGGTTGAATAGACGAGAAGAGTCTGCCACGAAACTCTTCAAAGTAAGTTAAACGCTCCTGCTCAGCCCGTAGGCTTTAAGCTGTAAAGGGTAACCATCAACACCCCAAAAAGCCTTGGGCATAGACGCGCAGGATGCCGTCTTGCACAGTCCGTAGGCAGCTGACAAGCGGGTGATCGGGTGCGGCTTGGAAACCCAGGTCCTGCTTGCGGTTGTGGGTGCAAGCTTCGGACCCTTAGAATATCTTAGAATATGGGGTTTCCCAAAATTGTGAGTACCCTGTTGGGAGTCCCCATAATAAGGACTATAGTATTTGCAGTCTATATTGGGGGTCCGGGTGAAGGCGTAGGAACCGGGATGCTGGGATGCTGGAATATAGATTTGGGGATTAAGCAATCCCTAAACAACCATTCTGTGCTTTTGGGGGCAGCCTCACTTGCATCATCTTCACGGTCTTGACAGGTAGCAAATGGTAGCAACACCGACGTCTATAAACATCTTAAACTTTCTCCTCTCATACATTATACATATGAATACTGCACTCTCAAGGGAGGGGATTCTAAAGGCAGGTGCAGCTGAAACCTGGCAACTCCGAATGCAAATTCTGAGCAAGCTGAAGTTGAGATGAACTAGACTTACCTCGTCATCTAACTGAATCTTCTGTTGCTACAATGGGTCCTCTGCTGGACGTTTGCAGGGCTCATCTTCTCGCCTGAGGCCGTGTTCTGAAGCATCTT